GGGCAAACAATTGCAAGGGAAAGGGCCTGGCTGATCCTGGCTCCTTCCTCCAGGGGTGTGGGGAAAATGGCAAAGGTCAACTAGCTACTTCCCCAGGGAATAGGGGTGTGTGTGCACTCACTAGTGGGCAGGGCGCTGCTGGTTCCTGGGCAACTGGGTGGGAAGGGTGGTGGGAGGAGACAGAGACACAAACATCTGAGACTCCAGCCCCTTCCTGCTGGGGCCACCCAATGGGGGAGAACCCCCAGTGTCCTGCCACAACCTGCCTTGTATAAACATGTACATTTTTTCATAACATTTTGAACAAGGTTTATATTGACTCAAGTTTAAAAACAAAAAGTGTGACTGAAAAATTTTTACAGAGTCTAGTGCACCAATGCTGATGTGAGGGGTTATGTATGCGAGTGAAGAAAATGTGTATTCTGGTGGCCTGAAGCTTTACTGGACAAGGATGTGTGAAAGTGCAGAGATATATTTAGTGACACGGTGTAGAGAGGCAAAAAAAAAAAAGTAAAAATTCCAAATGTATATTTTTTCTTATTGCCCTTTCCTTACCCCAGAAATGATCACTTCCTGTTGCTGTATTAACCCTTGTTATTAGGAACTCTAAGCCATGCCAGAGCACTGTCCTTCCCGTTTAACTGTGGATTCTGCCCTAGGTCCCCTGACCTCTTGCAGTGACAAATAACTCCAGCTAAAAGTATTTGGTGTTCTTATCACCATCCTTTCTCCCACTTTGCTTACCCTCATCCTCAGACAGATGCCTCTTGCTTTTAAAAGTTGGATTTAACTATGTGTTTTAGGGTTCTTGGTCTCTGTATAAAGGAGAGACCACAGAGAAGTAAATGAGCCAGTTGCTCTCTGGTTGAGCAATTTGGGTGAGTCCACCAGAGGCCTAACTGTGTGTGGCCATAACTTTGTCTTCCCCAGCCCTCGAGGCAGTGTGTGTGGGTGTGTGTGTGTGGATATTTATGTATGTACCCTGCACTCGTGAATGTATGTACTGGAGGAAGTTACGACAGGGGAGGGGTTCTTAATAACAAGGTCTACCTAGCATGAAGTATTTAACATTTTCCCACCCCTTGAAAATATACATTTTTATAAAATGAAAACCATAATAAATGTTTTGAATATAAAAAATTAACCTACAGAGGAAAATTAATGGAGAAAGCTATTTGCCTTGTACTTTTTCCACAATTATTGCTGCTAGTTGTTCACATCTCTAGTTCAGCTCTTGCCCATGGGACACTCATCAATTAGGTTTTGTTTTTATTTCTCTCCTCTACCCCCAGAAACAAACCTGTTGATTTTTTTTTTTTTTTTCCTTTTCCTCTGGCGACTGTGTGGTGACTCCTTTCTTGCGTGATCAGGTTGCGGATAGACTTGTAAGGGTGTTTGCTGCATACAGTGTAAGCATTGTGACCGCCAATAAACTTCAATGGTTTCTACTGACCTGGTTTCAGCAATCAAGTCTAGTGTGTGTTCAGGGACGTGTCTCACTCTAAACACAAAGCTGTTTGAAACATGCATTCTTAAAAGCCAGTGAGCGACAGGGGCCTCTCAACCTGAAAAATTAACTTGTTTCAAGTAAATGCAAGTGGTGGCCACACCTATAATCCCAGTGACTCAGGAGGCTAAGGCAGGAGGATAGCAAATTCAAGGCTAGCTTGGACAACTTAGTAAAACTGTCTCAAAATACAAAAAAAAAAAAAGTCTGGGGATGTTGTTGCTCAGTGGTAGAGCACCCCTAGTTTTAAAAAAAAGAACAAGCATTGGACTAAGTCTCACTCAACTTCGTTTTCAAAGTATGATTGATTGGGCTGACGTTCATAGGGGATAGCATATGTTGTCCACAGCTGTAATGAAGCCACCTCTTTACTAGCATGGTACTAACGTGGCCACCAGCAGACAAGCAGTAATTGAAGAAAGCCCAGCTTTGTTAGTGTCTTGACATCTGCTCTTCTGGTGTGGGCTGGGCTTTATTCATAGATCCTGACAAGTTCAAAGGCAAATGCTATCCCCTGGAATACTTCCAGACCTTGTGGGCCAGATTTAGCAAATGAAGAACACTAATGAAATGTGAACTCCTAATTCCTGAGCTGCCCAGTACCTAAGTATGCTGGAGCTTCATTACCAAAAACACTGGAAAGCAGGTGTGTACCTTACTGCAGGTTAATAATATCCAGTGAGGGGCTGGGGATGTGGCTCAAGTGGTAGCGCGCTCGCCTGGTATGCGTGCAGCCCGGGTTCGATCCTCAGCACCACATACAAACAAAGATGTTGTATCTGCCGAAAACTAAAAAATAAGTCTAGTGTGTGTTCGGGGACACCTCTCTCTCTCTCTCTTTTTCTTTCTCTCTCTCTTTAAAAAAAAATAATAATATCCAGTGATTCATACGTTCAAGAGTGCCATCTTGTCTGACTTTATTAAATACTCATTTTTGTGCTGTTTCAGCCTTCTTCGAATAGGTATAACCTCAGTTTTAAGTTGTTTTGAAGGCAAAAAAATTGTATTCTAATGGCACAAGCTCATATCTGTGATCCTGGCAACTCTAGAGGCTAAGATGGGAAGATCTACAAATTCAGAGACAGCCTCAGCAACTTAGCAAGACCCCATCTCACAAAGACAAAAAGGACTGGGAATGTAGCTCAGTGGTAGAGGACCTCTGCATTCAATCCCCAGTGCCACCAAAAAACAAATCCAAAAAAGGCAAATAGAATTGACTGATATTAGCATCTGTAAGCCTAGCAGAGAGATAAAATGGTGAATGGTGAAGTTTCATTATTAAGCAAAATTTAAGGCAAATAGAATTGACTGATATTAGCATCTGTAAGCCTAGCAGGGAGATAAAATGGTGAATGGTGAAGTTCCATTATTAAGCAAAATTCTCCCGTGCTCTAGGGACTTAGAATTCTAATTCTGAAGACAAAACAGTAACAACTTTCTCACAGGTACTTGAAAAAGAGTCCCCTTTTCCCCAGCTATCTTGACCTGCCTATCCATCTGCAAAATCCCAGAGCCCTCTTCCTTCCCTTCCACAAAAATAATTTGAGGCAAGAAACTCATCAGGCATGGTGGTCTCCTCAGGACAGGGTGAATACATGGCCAAGGGACTGTTCCCTCCTAATTGCCAATTATAAGAGCAATACCTCCCCCCGGTAGCCTTTTTGGGTAAAACATGATTATTTATTTCATATAATTCAACCTAATAAAAGCCAAGTTAAATCTTAGGTTCCAGTTTCTCTAGAAATCATGTGGTTTTATTCAGTCAAAAAATGAATTTATGCAGGAGTCTCTAGACTATTATTAGGTACTTTTTCCTGAAACAACAAATTCTTTTATTTTTTTAATTTTTTAATTGATTTTTAAAAAATAAATGACAGCAGAATGAATTACAATTCTCACTACACATATAGAGCATAATTTTTCATCTCTCTGTATATAAAATATGTTCATACCAATTTGTGTCTTCATACCATGTACTTTGGATAATGATGTCCATCACATTCCACCATTTTTGCTAACCCCCTGCCCCCTCCCTTCCCTTCCCACCCCTCTGCCTTATATAGAGTTCATTTATTCCTCCCATGCTCCCCCTCCCTACCCCACTATGATTCAACCTCCTTATATCAGAGAAAACATTTGGCATTTGTTTTGGGGGGGATTGGCTAACTTCACTTAGCATTATCTTCTCCAATGCCATCCATTTACCTGCAAATGCCATGATTTTATTCTCTTTTATTGCTGA